GGGCTGCTTCCATAATTTGGCTATTGTAAATAATGCTGCAATAAACATAGAGGTGCATGTATCCCTTTGAATTAATATTTGTGTATTTTTTGGGTAAATATCCAGAAGTGTGATTGTTGGATTGTAGGGTAGTTCTATTTTAAATTTTTTTGCCATGTTTTCTAGAGTTGCTGCACCAGTTTGCATTTCCACCAGTAGTGCATGAGGGCTCCTTTTTCTCCACATCCGCACCAACACTTGTTGTTTCTTGTATTGTTGATTCTAGCCATTCTGACAGGTGTGAGGTGATATCTCATTGTAGTTTTGATTTGCATTTGCCTGTTGATAAATGATGTTGATGCCTTTTCATTCTCTTGATGGTCTCCTTTGCTGTACAGAGGCTTTTTAGTTTGATGTATTCTCACTGGTTTACTTTTGTTCTATTGCCTTTGCTTTGGTGTCTAATCCAAAAAATTGCCTAGACTGATGTCAAGGAGCTTACCACCTATATTTTTCTTCTAGAAGTTTTATGGTTTCAGGTCTTACACTCAAGTATTTAATCCACTTTTTTTTTTTTTTTGAACAGCAGCAGGCCAAAGTTTATTAGAATTTATTAGAATTAGAAAGGAAGAATAGTAGGAAAGCTCTCTTTACAGAGAGGGGACACTTGAAAGTGAATGCCCCCTCAAGTATTGAATCCATTTTGAGTTGACTTTTGTGTAAGGATAAGAAAGTGGTCTAGTTTCATTCTTTTGCATGCAGCTGTCCAGTTTTCCCAGCACCATTTATTGAAGAGACTGTCCTTTCCCCATGGTGTACTGTTTGTCATAAATGACCATATATGTATGGGTTTATTTCAGGGCTCTCTATTCTGTTTCATTGATCTATGTGTCTGTTTTTATGCCATTACCATACTGTTTTTATTACTATAGCTTTGTAATACAGTTTGATACCAGGAAGCATGATGCCTCCAGCTTTGTTGTTCTTTCTTAAGATTGCTTTGGCTATTCAAGGTCCTTTGTGGTTCCATACAAATTTTCAGATTGTTTGTTTTATTTCTGTGGAAAATGTCATTGGAGTTTTGATAGGGATTGCACTGAATCTGTAGATTGCTTTTGGTAGTATGGATATTTTTAACAATAGTCTTTTAATCTGTGATATAGCGTATCTTTCCATTTGTGTCTTCTTTAATCTTTTTCATCAGGATCTTATATTTCAGTATACAAAATTAGCTTACTAATTTTGTAGTGATGTTGTTAACATAATAATGATGGCTTTATAGTTTTCACATCGCTTTCATCAGTATTTTCCTGTTTGTTCTGTTTCTTCTGTCTTGCAATTTTGCATATTTTGGCCCAGATCGTTGCAAAATGAACCAAACATAAAATCTATGGGAGTTTTGAAGATACACCTTTCTCTAAGTTACATCAGATGTCTTCTAAGCTTTATTACTCTTTACTACCCTCTTGTGATGGAGGCTAATGACACCTCTTCTCATCTCTGCAGTTGGGTCGGGGGTAATGAGATCATTATTCAGTGATTCTTGTAAGTTGGGGATTGGTGAGTCATTTAGCTGTTGGAGGCCCCAGCCTATTATACACACGTCGTAAATACTAAATGATGGTGAGGGCAGGGCCGTTCATTTTTCCTAGGTCCCCTGCCTCCCATTTCAGGGCTTATGTCACTGTTAGTAGTTCCTCAGGTGTTTCAGATCATCATCCTCTTTAGCATCAAGCTAATTACTCTGCCCAGGCTTACATTTTTGCCATGTGTTAGGGCGATGTTCACAAGTTTTGTGCTAACTGGATAAGTCTTTCTGAACTCTGTGTACCCAGTGGACCAACAAAGGAAAATTGGATTTTCCCAGATTAAACCCTGCTAGTATTTTCAGCTCTAGTTCAGTCCTCCCCAGTTCTCATCAGTTATGAAGCTGTTTTCTTTAGAACCTTCCTGGTATTTATTATCTAAACAGGAGATCTTACTCAAGCACATACCTTGAATCTGCTACCATCTTTTAATTCTGAGAATCTCTCAGGAATGGCAGGAAACCTGGAGGTTTCAGGGCATCTTTGCAATCCCTAGATTATGATGTAGTTTGCCATCTCTGTGTGCCATCAAGGAGGCTTCTGATGATATTTGAGGGCTGTGAGTAATCTTGAAAGGTCAATACTCTATCCTTTCATGAAAGCTTACTAAATTTGATCCAGGTGAGAATTACTGACTAGCGTTAAATCTGTTTGGGGAATTAGAAATTTGTAGCGGACAAAATAATACCACGCAGTCGAGTTCCTAGATGCAAGGGGGGAAACCTATGTGTACAGCGGGTGGATCAGACTTCGTCCAAACTCGTTGGGTAATCTTAGCATTACTTATGTTGGGTCAGACATTTATCACCTGTCCTTTCATGTGGTGTAACATAAGGTTCAGAGCACCATCTATGCTGTATTTTAACTAAAAAATATTTAACTTGACCGCATTGGGCATTCAGAATTTTAGAGCTTTTTTTTTTTTTTAATCCATTATTTCCATAAACCATACCGGAAGGAAGCAGCCAAACAAAGGATGGGTCCTTCTGCACCCTACGTGTACTGGTCTCTTCAATAAATCAATGTCTTAAAGATAGAGATGGAACTAGAATCAAAGGGATTTAAGGGACAGTGAGATACAGGGCATGATCTCGACGAGGATACCAGCTTGGACAAAACCAGCTCTAAAGCAAATTTTTGGAGTCAGACAAATTTGGAAATAGTCTGGATGTTATATGAAATGATATTTACTGAGATGGAGGGATGCATAATTTTGATGAAAAAATTCTTGTTACAAAAAAATGTATATATAAATAGTGCATATATTTCTAGATGTCTTTCTAAGGTGTTAATAGTGGAACTCCTACTCTCCAGTGATAGGAATGTGGGTTTTTTATTTATCTCTTTGCTTGTCTCTCTTCTTACTTTTCTGCAGTGCACATGCCTCATTTTTGTGTTAACAAAAGCTATCTACAACCTATCTACAGATAGTTTGTTATAATATATTTCACAAGGTTTTTCTTGATGAGGATTTTATAATCTTTGGGATGCTTCTTTGAACCATGACTTTAGATTCTACATGCATCTTTCTTGTTTAAAGTTGATTTTTTATTATAATAGGACAATTTCAAAAAGTAGATAGGATTATATAATTATCAATTGTGCCCAGTTTATTTCCTCTGTACCCACCATTCCTCTCCACCCATTATTATTATTATTATTGTTATTATTTTTAAAACGTTTATCCATTTTTGAGAGACAGAGAGAGACAGATCATGAGCAGGGAAGGGGCAGAGAGAGAGGGAGACACAGAATTGAAGCAGTGTCCAGGCTCCAAGCCATCAGCACAGAGCCCGACGTGAGTCTCAAACTCACAAACCATGAGATCATGACCTGAGCCAAAGTCGGATGCTCAACCGACTGAGCCACCCAGGCGCCCCTCCACCCATTATTTTGAAGGAAATCCCACATTCTTGAATTTTCATCTATAAATAGTCAATATTTTTTCCTAAAAAATAAGAACATTAAAAAAAAACATGGTCTGGTATCACCGCAAACAATAAATACATGAAATAATTGTATTCCTTCAATATAATCAAGTATCCAGTCATTCACATTTCTCTGTCTCATAAGTGATATTTATCTGTAGTTATATTGTTAGAATGTGACTTCAAATAAGCTCCTGGGAGCCTGCCTAGCTCAATTGGTTAAGTATCTGACTCTGGATTTCAGCTCAGGTCATGATCTCACAGTTTGTGGGTTCGAACCCTGCATCAGACTCTGCACTGACAGTGTGGAGCCTGCTTGGGATTCTCTGTCTCTCTGTCTCTCAAAATAAGTAAATTCACTTAAAGAATAGTAAGAGTTTCGTCTCCTTAAAAAAATAAGTTTCTGACATTACAAATGGTTATGTGTCTATTAAGCTCTTTCAATCTGTAGATATCTCCCTCCTCCCCCAGCATTTTTTCCCTTGCAAATTATTTGTTGAAGAAACTAGGCCCTTCATCTTTTATAATTCCTCACCTTCTGCATTTTTCTGCATGCTCTTTTTTTTTTTTTTAAATATTCAAGACTGGAAGTTGTACTCTTGAATGCAGCTGAGCAGAGTTCCCATTTAAAACTTACAAAACTTGGGGCGCCTGGGTGGCGCAGTCGGTTAAGCGTCCCACTTCGGCCAGGTCACGATCTTGCGGTCCGTGAGTTCGAGCCCTGCGTCAGGCTCTGGGCTGATGGCTCGGAGCCTGGAGCCTGATTCCGATTCTGTGTCTCCCTCTCTCTCTGCCCCTCCCCCGTTCATGCTCTGTCTCTCTCTGTCCCAAAAATAAATAAACGTTGAAAAAAAAAATTTAAAACTTACAAAACTTATTTATTGTGTTTGTAAAATCTGTAAGTGGAAATGGTTGATTTCTATCCTAAAGTCCTCTAAGTTCAAGACTCATATAGCCTTGGGGTGCCTGGGTGGCTCAGTCCGTTGAGCATCTGGCTCTTGATTTCAGTTCAGGTCGTTTCATGGTTTGTGAGTTCGAGCCACTCATTGGGCTCTGTGCTGACAGTGTGGAACCTGCTTGGGACTCTCCCCCTCTCTCTCTGCCCTCCTAAAATAAATCCCCCTCTCAAAATAAATAAAAATAAGCCAAAAAAAAAAAAAAAAAAGACCCGTATAGCCTTGATTGTTTCAATAAGATGAAACAACTAATGGGAAAGGATACACTGGGGTAGCAGGCATTAGCCCTATCAGTTACACAAATTTTTAGACAGGAACTTGCCAGATTTCCTTTGCAAAGTGAAATGAAAAATTTACCCTGAAAATGAATTCAGGACCATGGTACATTGGGGTCCTTTTGAAATATAATTTTGTATCCTCAGCTTGATCTGTAAAATGCTCTTTGTCATGATACTTGTATACTATTTTTTGTTTTGTTTTACTTTACTGCTAAGGCTGCTATGGTTGAAATTTCCACTGCCTGTGTATTGATTTGTTTGTAATGATTGCAGGTTGAAGATGACAGTGATGCAGAGACCTTTGGAGAAGAGAATGAGGAACAGGGAAATTATTCTAAAAGAAAGATAGTCTCTAACTGGGATCGATACCAAGATATTGAAAAAGAGGTCAATAATGAAAGTGGAGAATCACAACGGGGGACGGACTTCAGTGTCCTCCTCAGCTCTGCAGGTATGAATTCTGTTGCTTGCCTATGGTTTAGTGCTCTGAAAGTTGCATAGACCTCTTATTTATGTTCCCTTTAAAGCTGCATGAAAAAAATTTTTTTTAATGTTTATTTTTGAGAGAGACAGAGACAGAACGCGAATGGGTCAGGGGCAGAGAGAGAGGGAGACACAGAATCTGAAGCAGGCTCCAGGCTCTGAGCTGTCAGCACAGAGCCCGACGCGGGGCTCGAACTCACGAACTGTGAGATCATGACCTGAGCAGAAGTTGGATGCTCAACTGACTGAGCCGCCCAGGCGCCCCATAAAGCTGCATTTTAGTAACTAGCAATTCATCCTTTTGTCCTTTGGGTTTTAAATTCAAGTAAAGGACAGTGTGTCTAATGGTTTGCAAGGGAAAAAGATGTTTCATTAAGGGGAAGCCAGGGATTCCATGTACTGATGAGGAAGGACTTAAGGCCTGGTTGAAATGGATAAAAGGCTTTACAGAAATGAAAATGCTGAACCGTGCCCCTCTAAGTTGGCTAGTCTGAAAACAGAAGTGTTTTCTTTGATATCAGAGGAATCAATGATTATGTTTATACAAAGCTTTAGCAAGCTTCTAGAGTATGTGTTCTTTTCCCTTTTATAGCCAGGAATATGCATATTCGTGGATATGCACATATTAGAGTCCTGTGTACCTGAACACGAAACCTTTTCTGTTTTGTTTTTGGACAGTCTTCTCTATCAATAAGGTGAAATGCTCATTCCTTCTATGCCCTGCTGTTGTTTTAAGATTGACTATACCCTGAACGATGTGCAGCAGTGTGAAGGTGGAGTAGGAGAGTAGTTACAGAGAGTGATGGAACAGAGCTGGCTGGGGAGATGGCTGCTCTCTCCTAGAGTGTGGCGTAAGAATCGGAAGGACGAAAGGAGAATGGAGTAGCGGTTTTCAGGGGTTTGGGATGGGAGGGTGGGAAGTGGATGTGGTTATAAAATGGCAACGTGAAGGTTCTTGATAGTGCTGGTACGATCTTTTGTCTTGTGGTAGTAGGTAGACAAACCTACACAAATGATAACATTGTCTAGAACTTAATACACATGCACATGAGTGACTACAAATAAAACTGAGGAAACCTGAAGAGGATTGGTGCTTATATCAATGTCAGTATGTCCGTATTTCCGGTTGTGATATTATAATACAGTTTCGCAAACTGTTATCATTGGGGGAAACTGGGCCAAGTACATGGGAGATCTCTGTGTGTTTCCTTAAAAAAAATTTTTTTTTAAATGTATTCATTTTTGAGAGACAGAGAGAGATAGAGCATGAGTGGGAAAGGGGCAGAGAGAGAGGGAGACACAGAATCTGAAGCAGGCTCCAGGCTCCCAGCTGGCAGCACAGAGCCCAACGTGGGGCTCGAACTCACGAGTTGCAAGATCATGACCCGAGCTGAAGTCGGACGCTCAACTGACTGAGCCACCCAGGCGCCCCTCTCTGTATTATTTCTTAAATTTGTATGTGAGTCTACAATGACCTCGACAACAACAAACAGCATAATATTGCCAGGTTAAAAAAATATAAAGAATTGAGAAGCAGAGAAATAAAATGAAAATAATATTTTCAGACAATTTGCTTTGAATTCCCTCTTGCCTCCAACTTTTACGTTGCTGTTGAGTTCCACCTTTCTTTTTTCTCATCTTGCCTATATTTTTGAATGCCCATACCAGACTAAGAATCATAAAGTGATGAATTCTCTTTGAGCTTAATAGAATAAACCTCTTGAGTAGAAAAAAATTACACGTGGAGAGAGTAGGGTGAGTGTGGGTCAGCAGAGCGAGGTTCAGACTGGTGTCCTTCTGTTGTACGCTCCCCACAGTGTCACCCTCTCAGGAGAGGTTTGCTGACGGCATCCAACTCATTGACCGTTTAGGGGCCAGTGACTCCTCTTTTGCCAGTCAGATGAGTACTGCCCTCTTGTCACCTGCATTTTGGCCGCTTTCAGGTTCATAAGCACCTTTCTTCAAGGTGAGAGAAAGGTAGAAGGTGGGCTGCTTAGTTTTAATTTGTGTTAGCTGTTCTGCTAAAGGACGGGGGCGGGGGGGGCGGAAATGGAAGCAGTGCAGTGTGGATTACCTGGTTTTAATTGAATTAAAAGTGTACTCGGTTACTAGGACAGTATCTGGCAAGTGAAAGATACTGCCTGAATGTCGGAAGGCGATTCACAGTTCTAGTCTAACCCGGCAGCTATGCCCAGGGGCTTATGATTTTGACTGTTTATGTTAGCATTTTATTTATAACTTAAAGCCTGGCATGATTTGGCTCTCCTATGTATTTTTCTTGTAGTCTGTCTTTGCTTACTGATTTCTTTTCAAGTAGCTTGTTTATGTGTGATTGGTTTCTCGGGAGATCACAATTGTCCCATCTTCTGACATGTGCTTCTAGCTTTTCCCCACTGTGCTGCTGATGTATCATTTTCTTTTCACCATGTCATATGCCTGAGAAGAGCTGCCATGCTTTCTTCATTGTAGGAGTAGGGCTATATTAGTTTACTTTTGAGAGATGGAGTACATTCTGTGATCATAATATATATATATTTATAACATATATTATATATAATATAATATTATAATTATTTATAATATAATATATTATTTATAATATATGTTATAAATATATAATATATATTTATATACATATTTAGTATATATAAAAATATAAATTATATACTAAATATATATATATACTAAATATATATATAGTAAATATATATATAGTAAATATATATATATAAAAAATATATATAGTA